CTCCCTCCCTCCATCCTCCCTCCCTCCCCTCCCCTTTCTGTCATATCCTCCTCCTGATGGCTGCTAGTTATTGGAACATAGAGGCATTTTCCAATGCAGATATTGTGAATTATGTTTATTTATGTATTTATTCGCTTCTCTCTCTTGCTCCCTCTCTTTCTCTTTCACGCGCAAAAGTACAGCTATCCCCAGCCTGGTGTCCACCTCACGACTGGGCAATTGTGTGAGCTGATGACACACCAGATGGGAAGACCGTGCTTAAGGGCTCTGGGGTGGGGAGATCTGCGTTCTGGCTGTCGCAATGGTTGGGGGTACTTTGAAGAAAAATAGCTGTATTGGGGCATCTACTTTCATGGCTGGCTAGCATCTTCTGATCTGTCATAGCTCAGCTTCAGGGGTTGGACTCCATGATTTCAAAGATCCCTCCCGACAGTTACCTTCTACGATTCAGTGATCCTTTGGGAAATGCCTTAATGTGTCCGGTGTCAGGGGATTCCAGGTTGTTTTCTTCCAGAGAAATTTAGCTGTGGCCAAAAAAAGATGATTCTCTCAAAATCCTCGATCAAGCTTTTGCATCCGACGTGGTCATTGCTTATCCACACATCTGTAAGGAGGAACTGCCCCGATCCTTAGAGGCTTTCCAGCAGCTGTGATCTCCTTTGTGCAGGAGGAAATTTGCTGCAAATTTCAACTCCTTCATGCCAGCCGGGGAATGACAATTTCACATCATTTACTTTTTTCAATTTAGGCACCCCCTAATAAATAATTCTGGAATTCAGTATCCAGAAGGTTGCAAGTTCTGCTCCCCTATCCAGCCCCTCTTCCTTATCAAGGAAAGTTTTTACGTTCTAGAAATTTGGCATGTAGATGTTGCCAGGTTCAATCTTCGGTGTCTCCAAGTAGGGGAAAAACTCCTGTTTGAAAATCTTGGTCAGCATTGTTTCGGTGGTACGTCTTGGTACGATGCAGCCGCTTCCTTTCTGCTTATTTAACAAACACCTATTTATTTTGAACCATGAGGACTAGATCCTTCTTTTACTTTTAGGAGTAAAGCTGTAGCTCAGTGCACGATTCAGAAAGTTCCTGTCTAGCGCTGACAGTACTAGACAGATTTGCGGTCTGACTTGACCTTACACGGCTTAGTCATTTGATTGTAAAAAATAGTATTTTGGGGGGGTGGATGGGGTTGGGCTCAGTTTAATTCTCTTGGTTTGGCCTAAGCAAGCAACTCTTTGAACCTAATCCATGAACTTAGGGATCATTCTGCCAATGGATGTTCAATTTTTATTGCTGGGAAGAATCGGGGGAGAATAAAGCTGACCGAACACGGGATCTCTCTGTTGCTTCTGTCCCTGAGAAATTTTTCCTCCCACTCAGAAGTACAATGAGAAAAAAGGCTTTTTTTCTGACTTCTTCACATCCATGTTCCAAGACTGGCGTTTTCATTCGCGGCTGAGTTTGGCCAGCTGTTGTGCCTCATCCAGGAAAATTCAATGTTTTCCAGATGGAAGATGGAATGGCAACAGATGCCCACCGTTCCATCGGGCTGGGACAATTTGCACCCACGTTCTTCGGGGTGTGAGTCTGTCTTCCTAACCTCAAAAGCAGATGTGGAAAAGTTCTTTTCCCAGCTTCAGTTCCTTGTCTTCCCTTGCTGACCGCAGCCCTCTGACTTTTCCATGTGTTTTATTTGTTAACTTTCAAAACAACGATCCTGTTGTCTGCCAAAAAGGGCCCGACACAAAATAACTTCAGGAAGAGGATCCTTGCAAATGGACTCAGATTGCAGTTCTTAATTCTATATTTATCAGAAAAGATTAAACAAAAAATCCCCCTCAAAATAATTACTTTTAAAGCTGGAGGGTGGCCTTAGATTCGCAAAGAATCTACCGATGGAGGCAGAACCTCTTAATTTCCCATTCTTTAGGGGACTCCTCTCCGAGTCAATGTTGTGCTAATTTTTAAATTGCAAGGGTTAGGGTTAGATGGATGGATGGGTGGATGGATGGATGGATGGATGGATGGATAGAGATATAGATAGATGATAGGCAGAGATGGATGGAACATTTGAACTCAGGACCATCCCCTTTGCTCTCTTAAGACAGAACCAGGCACACATTTTGAGGCAGGGTTGTTTTATTCAGAAGATCTTCCTTTCCTTCCATCACAATCTTTTTAAAGGGGAACCCCTTTCCCGTTTTAAATAACCCTCACACGACTCCTAAAAGCGCTACCTGCCTTACCAAGAGCCCAAGCTGGCTTCAACGAGATCGGCTCCCCACCGTGAAATATTCGAAGGATAAGTCAGAGGAGCGAGGCGGTTCTCTGTTCCCAGGAAGAATTGCAACACGAGTGATTTAAAGTAAATATTTAGAAAGAGGGCCAAAGCTGTTCCATATGGAACAGATGTTTTTCAGAAGGAATGTGGGGTCCAATCCACAATCCACTGTGTCCAATCCACAGGCCTGGCAACAGGGCAAGCTGATTTCCTGAATGCAGCTTATTTTATGAATCGTTTTATTAATAGTTGCTGATGTCTACAGGCGTGGCTGCTTCGTCCAGTCTTTGCCGCCCTCCATCCCCGTCTCTTCAAACACACTTTTCCATCTGCTTTCTCTGGATATTGAATTTCCCTAAACTCCCGGGCACAGCCAAGCTCCGTTTCCTCCGGCGTTTCTCACTCCCACTCTGTTCCCTGGTGAAAGTGTGCGGTGTGTGGTCAGTTTCACAGAGAGGAAGGGGGGAAAACGTGAAGAAACTGACTAGGGTCCCCCGCCTGCGCTTCCCCGAAGGCAGAAAAGTGTAAATTGCTTGTGCGATTGGGATCCACTCCTGACGGTTTCCACGAAGAGGGAAGAGAAAGACTGCGGGGGGCAGAGTGGAAAAAACACGCTTCCCACCCAGATGGATGCCAACAAACCCATTCTTGAACCCCGAACCCCGTTTTTCAGGAAAGTTAGAGCACCAGGGGACGTGTCCAGAGACGGTTTTTCTTTTCTTTTAAGACATTTTGCAGAGGGTCCAAACAGCATTATTCTCCCCGAAGAGAAACGGCGCCAGCAGGATTTGACTCGCTCCCAAAGTGAAGGCAAAAAAATGCATTTTCAAACCGCAAGCGCTAGGATCTTATCGATGGTGTTCGCCCCAGATCCCACCCATTGCATTGGGGCTTAGCGGGTTAGGCAAAAACAGCACCGAAGATGTTTCTTCTTCTTTCATGATCACACCAAAAGGGCAAGATTTAATGGGCCGGTACCGTATATCTGCTGCCTCTTTTAAGGAGAAATGGCCAAGTTCTCTGGATTTGCCATGAGAAAGTTGAAGGCGGAAGGAAATCATTGAAAGAAATTATTTTGGGATCATGCCTTGTGTGAATAACTGTCCCTAAATATCCTCTAGAGTGGTGTTTCTCAACCTTGGGAACTTTAAGACATGTGGACTTCAACTCCCAGAATTC